ATTTAATATGACACAATGGAGAAAAAGGATTCATGTAACCGACCCCACGTAGTGGGATAAATGCTTGATGTTGTTGTTGTTCTACTTCTTTCACTTCATGACCATTAGATTCTGCTCCTTAAAAAAAAATGCCTCACTAAATGTTGACCAACAATTTACTATATATAAAAAAATCCTCATACTCTGGCCATTCAAATTATGAAATTAAGGCAAGCAAAAAACATTCTGAAGGGACCAATATCATAATTTTTAACTTTCATCGTGAAGGAGCAATAAACCCTGTAATCTCATGCCACAAAAGAACACAGCCATTTCTTGCAATATAAACATATTTCTAGAAAGAAAGTTAGATTTCCTTTTAGCTGTAAAAAACATTAAAGGAAATACCTGCATATTTTGCATAAGCATGATCAAAGTAATATGTGCAGTTCCGTTCAGGGCTAGAGTATGGAGGACCAAGAACATCAAGGAACGCACACGCAGTCTTGGCAGTAAAGCAATGCATGTTTCCTCCAGAAGATGGGTATAGTATGGAGGTCTCACATGGAGCAGTAAATACTGCATCAGTCTTCACTTTTGCCAATCTTTCACCTGATGGCAAAACTACTACAAGTCCACAAAGAGACAAACTTCAATGATTAATACAAAGCATTTGAAAGTTGTTATAAGATTTAACACAAAAAGAAATGGAAAGAAGCATACAACATGGTTTCTTTGTTGTTAAATTCACTAGAAATTACCACGACAAGGTTCAATGGAATCTTGGGAAACCGCAACCCAGTCAAAGGATTTAATGTGCATGGAGCCAAACAAAATTTTACTGAAGACTGTCATTCCCGGGTGATTATGTAAAGGTATGACAGCATTTGGAGGCAAGCAGAAGATGCCAATCTGTAGTGAGGAATAGATATATTGAGCAAGGTTCCCAACACAGTTTCACTGATAAGGTAATTTACTCAAACCATGGAAGAGAATGTATCATACCGAGAATTCATCACAGGTATAAACATGGAGGTATGTTATGGGAGAAGGCCTCCTGGCATCAATGTTCTTAAAAAATGGAAGCTTTGGGGATAGGCCGACATCTTCCGGTTTCAGACGATCTGCATAATAAATGACTAGAAGTATCAAAATAAACTTCTAAATTTTGATAAGCTTCAATTTATAAAATTCATTCGCCAAACTATTGAAGCTAAACAAAACTATAGCATTTGCAATTGTATTATATGACTTGAATCTAAGAATTCAACTAATTCAGAAAACTCGTACTGTAAGATGAGAAATGGGGATAAGCGGTACCCAAAGCACAAAAAAGATAGCACGACTCTAACCTAAGCTCGCTTGCTAAATCCCTACCATCAGGGAATGAATTCAACCTCATAATCAAACCTAAGAAAGTAAGAAAAATAACCTTCTTCAATATCCTTATAATTTTTCCCTGCCCCAAACTAGGGGTGTCAATTTCGGGTCACGGGTCGGGTTC